TGTCAGGCTAACGTCTGCTGCGGTCTGAGGCGCTCATGGGGAGCACGGTTGTCCCTTCCCTCCTCTGGGCTCCGGCGAGTGGGGCGCCCGCGTCCCAGGAGCGCGGCGAGGGTCACGTCACTGTCCTGCCCGGTTCTCTCTGCCATTCGCCCAGTGCCCTGTGCTCAGGCGGGAACTGTGCGACTGGCTGGCACGTGGCCATGCTCGTCACCTGCTGGGGCAGTCACAGGGTGTTTGTGTCACCTAGATCCAGGACGCCCAGGCAGCAATGAGACTCTACGTCACAGTGAAGAAGGAGTGGGAGCGCATGGCCCGGGACAGACACCCGACCACCGCCGCAGACCACAGCGACCAGGCGTAGCAGGACCCCTGCCGCTGGTGCTGCCCCCCCAACCTCGTGACGGGTGTGACGAAGTCAGGGGACAGATGTGGTCTCCCCCGAGTGGCAACAAGACCGTGGCAGCCGGGGCACGGGGCACGCGTGCTGCTGAGAACTCCTTTCCTCTCGTCTCTGACCTGAGACCTCACCTCACTGCCGGGGCAGCGGGCGCACGGGCCAGGCTGTCGCTGGGGGCTCAGGGGCCTTTGTCCTGGGCTCGCCAGGCGGTGGGCGGTGGGGACTGATGTGGGAGCGCCTCGGACTCTGCACTTGGCCAACCCCAGCGTCAGGACGGGAGTGGAGGCTGTGCCTGCCCTGTGCCCTCACCGCCCGCGTGCTGGCCGGCTTCGCTGGGGGCTCTCCCCTGGGTCTTCGGCACCCTCCAGCGAGGAGCTCCTTTCCCGCCATTGCCGTGGACGGTGTAAAGAACTCGGCCAGAATCCAGGCGCCCAGCCCGGTGTCTGCTCCATCGAGGACCTCAGACTTAGAGATTTTCTGACAGCAGGGGTCCTTGCTCTCCCCAACCCTCTACTGCCCGCCAAGTTCACACTCAAGGTCAGAGCCCACAGTGCGGCCATGTCAGGCTCAGGTTTCCCCCAGGCATGGCAATGACAGTTATTTCCGAAGGTGGTGCCTCTCCCCGGCTAGGACGGGCATGCTGGCCTGGTGGTTTGAGCTGGAAAAGTGTGGGTTCCCGTGGGCGGCCTGGCCTGTGGGTGTGAGATCTCCGAGAATGGGAGTGGGGTACGTGAAGCCCGGGGCTCTCCTACGCCTCCTGACGGGGACACATAGGTCCAAACCCCCTGAGGAAGTTTCTGAACATAAATGAGGTTTTTATTTGAGAAGGAGCTGGTGGGGGCCCAGTTTCTTGTTCAAAATGGTCTGGAAGAACCACTGTCAGATGCTGCCACCCGACCCAACTGGGGTGAGGTTTGTGTCGAAATCGTAGAGTCCAGCACCATCGTAGAATCAGGCATACCCCCAGGAATTGGCCTTGGGGCTCTGTCGTCATGAAGAGTGAAATGCACACGCTGGTCCCAGGCGACAGTCCTTCCTGAACCCACGCCCAGCCCTGAGGAGGATGCCCTGTCACTGGGCAGTTCTGTGAGGTGCACTGCAGGACAGGAAGGGCTGGGGAGAGGGCTGGATGGGAGGTTCGGGGGTCTGCCTCCTCAGGGCAGAGCCGACTGTCCCCTCGCAGAGCTGGGCGGCGTGGCCTCCTGCAGCCTCAGGATCACCCTCTCTGCGTAAGAGACCAGCTCCTGGAAGGAGACACACAGGCCGCCGTGTCCACGGGCAGGCTCGGAGTCCGTGACCAGTTACTTTTACGACAACCCGCTTTTCTGTGAAGAGGTCTGACGGCCCTTCCCCCTTAGGATTTAGACACGGCGGCGTCTGGGGTGCGGGGCCCTGGCCGGCACTCACCAGGCTGGAGGTGAAGCGCTCCCTGATCAGACTGGAAGAGTCACGAAGCCACGCACAGCACTCCGGGGTGCTCTGCACACGCCCTGCTCCGGTACCCTGGGCTCACTGCCACCTGGGTCTGGCCACAGGTGTCTGTGAGATCTGGGGTGCGGGGCCCTGGCCAGCACTCACCAGGCTGGAGGTGAAGCGCTCCCTGATCTCCTGGACCAGGGGCTGGATGTTGTTGGACAGCAGCTCGGACAGGATGTCCTCTGTGGGCAGAACAGAGGGTCCTGAGGAGCCCCGAGCCCCACCAGGCTGATGCTTCTGCAGCCCCCGGCTCGGTGTGTATGGAGGCCAGCAGGCCGGGGCTGGGACCCGTCCCCTCCGTGCCCAGGGGGTCAGGAGCCGGGTGCAGAGTGGGCACTCGCGTCACGAACAGGACATTCAGAGGGCTTCGTTCCCTTCTGCCGTTCAGAGCCGGGAGCAGGGCGCCTCTGAGGCTGGCTCGGGGAGGGGGCGGGGAGGGGTCCTCACGGTAGGAGGCCAGGTGGGCCAGCAGCAGGCACAGGTTCTCCACCACGCCCGGGTTGTCCCGGTGTAGCTGGTACGTCTCCTTGACAAGGGTGAGGCCGCTGCTGTCCTTCTGCGGTACCACCACCTGCAGCGCGGCCAGCTCTGGGGGCGCGGGGGAAGGGAAACAGTCTGTTTCCTGCAGCTGTCCGCGCCCCAGTGTCTTCTGGGAAATGGGGTGACGGACCGAGTTCTTGAGGTTGTCGAGAGTGCAAAGTGTTTGGGACAGCAAGGGAGGTGCCATGGGCTCCTGCAGCCTGGGGACCTCTGACCTCGCTGTGGTCCCCACTCTAAAGCTAACGAGAGCATCCACTGACGTTTCCCCCCCCACCCAGGCAGCAAAGGCTCCCGCGGGGGCCGGGTCTCAGCCAGTGGGCAAGGGGGGGTGCTGGGGGTGTTCCGAGGTACCCCCGCATCAGGGGTCAGGCCCTGCTCGACTGGGGGGGGCGGTCTGTGTAAGCAGTGCCCCGTGATGCCCAGCGACTACTCATAGTATCCTGGAGCCTGGAGAGACCAACACTCAGGTGAGGTGACGAGTCACAGCAGGTGGCAAAGCTGCACTTCTCACCCAGACTCTGGCTCTGGGGTGCTGTTCACTGGGTTCTGGTGGCCCCACTCACTCCTCATGAGCTAAGCCGAGCAGAGCCGAGCCACATCCCTTCCGCCCTCCTGTCCTCCCCCGCTGTCCCACAATGACTGGCAGCTCACCTCTGACACAGACCTGTTGTCAGCAGGACCTTGGACAGGGTGGGGCAGCCCCGGAGCCCAGGGTATCTGTCTGAGAAGGAGACCCTGGTGCCCCTTTGGAGCCTCCCTCCCAGGTGTGGAGAAGGCCCCGCCCCCTTCAGGCTGAGGAGCAGACAGGCCTGGCTTTGCGACCTGACCTCAGGGGACTGAACCACCCCACACACCAGCTGGCGACCCTGGCCAGTCCCCAGGTGCCGAGTGGCTGTAAAGGGTTATTGTGCTGTGAATCGGGCATGGGGCCTGGCACAGGACACGCGTAACAGCAGGGTTTGTGATGTGGGTGGGACTTTGGAGACAGACCTGTCTCCTGGGCTGTCTTAACGTGTGTTTATGGTCAGAGCAAGACAATCACAATGTAGCTTTAAGGAAAAAAGTATATGAAAAGTCTCCATGGCAACTTCTGGATGACGGGACTATAGATTGCTCTGCTTTTCCTGTTTTGAACTTGTGCTTCTGTGTTCGGTTTGTGGGCAGCTGGCAGACATCACTTGCTGAGTCTTCCCCCTCCCTCCCAGCAGCAGCCCGATCCATCCCTGGCCTCACCGGACACCTTCACGAGGCTGGCCAGCCCCCGGTAGGCGTTGTTCACCAGCAGGACGCGGTCTTGGCCCAGCCGCATGCTTCGCAGAAACAGCACCACCACCTCTTCAAACTGGTGCTCCTTTATGCAGCCTGCGGCGGGGCCAGGCCACCTCGTCACCGTCACCGAGGGAACCAGGGCCCGCCCCTCCCAGCTCCTGGAGACCCTGGCTGCTCACCGAGCAATGACAGCAGCCAGAGGACCGCACAGCCCACTTCGGCCATCTCCACATCTGTGGGGTAGGTGGCCAGCAGCTTGGCAACGAGGACGGGGGCCTTCTCCAAGGGGGCACTCACGATGATAGCCGAGACTAGGACAGGACGGAGGAGGCCCTAGTGCCTGCTGCACGCACGGCCCCCAACTCTGCCTCCCGCCAAGGACAGCAGCAGAGCAGAAGCTATGGGGAGGGGGCAGGTGTCCTCGAATGAGACGATGACGGAGGGGTAGGGGGGCTTTCCAGCCCGCCAGCGAGATGGGGCGTGTTCCCTGTGCCCCAAGGGGAGGCCTGGGGGATCCTGAACTTAGGCAGGACTCTCGGGGTTCTAGGGCTCCCCATGGCTGGGAGCCCTCTTTTTCTTGGGCAAAACTACCACCCAGGTGCCATAGGGCCAAGATGGGGTCTGGGGGACCCGGCACAGCCTGGGGCCCCTGGGATAGGGTGCCAGTGCCATGGGTGACTTCTGAAAGCAGGAGCTGCCTGGGAAACCCCAGGGTGCGGGGGCTGGAAGCCTCCCTGGGCGGGCGCCATCTGCAAGGGGCCCAGCCCCCCAGGACCGTGCCCGCTCTCCATCCTCTCCCCCTCCTGTCTCATCCTCGGCTTCGGGGCTCTCAGAGGTGCCTTTCGTGGACCACGGTTTGTCCTGAAGCCCTTGCAGGACAGGATGAGGTGGAGGGGCTCCTCTCACCGTCCACCAGCAAGACCCAGAGCAGGCTCAGGCCGCTGATGCAGACGTCCCTGTTCTCGGAGAAGGTGTCCAGATGTGCCAGGATGTGCTCGAACAGCCCAGCCTTCTGCAGCTCCTCTGCAGTGGGTCCTGCCGGGCGGGCCCTGGAATTAGGGCCGTGGAGAGCCCCTCCTCCAGAAAGCACTCCCTGAGCACCTCCCGCTGTGTTCTCAGGCACTGCAGTCCCGTACCTGTCACATGACCGGGCCCCTACGGTCTCATGCCCAGCGTGGGACCCAGACACAAGTGGTCCATCACCTGGCCCACCCGTCCCAGCATCTCCCATCCCATGACTGGGCAGGGCCCAGGCTCTGCAGCTGTCCTTCTAGGGGCCTGGCCCTGCCCCCTTGGGCCGCACAGCGGGCCCGAGCCTCTTGAGGTGGACTGTAAGGGTCTATAAGGCCGTGGGCACTGCCCCTCTCCTCCACGCTGTCCCTGACCCGGCCGCCCCTGCCAGCCCCACTGGTCGCCTGGGAGGCCCAGGTACTCCAGGAAATGGAGGTGAGCGGGGCGGCAGGGGCGACGAGGGCTGGACGTGAAGCAGACATCGGCGTGCGGCTGCGCGGTGGCCCCTGGCACGGCGCACGTTTGCAGAGGCATGCGAAGCAGGAGCGAGGGCGAGTGTGTGCAACGGGCCGACCGAAGGCAGCACCCGCCTCGCCGGGCCGGGGGCAGACCCACCCCGGCTGCAGATCATGGACAGCAGAGTGTAGCCCATGCCCAGGAGCTGCTGGGACTTGGGGTGGCTCCGCATGATGCTCAGCAGGGCCAGGGTGACGGAGCTGTCGCTGGGTAACTCAGCGGCCGGGTCTTTTGCCAGTGCTGCTCGGGCCAGAGGAGAAGCTTGGGGTTAACTCCCAAAGCTGGGGACCGGGGGTGGGGGGTGGGCGGGAGACGGCACGTGGCGTGCTCCCTCCCCGGGGCGGGCAGCACCCCCACTTCGCGTGAAGGAAACCGAGGTCGGCCTCGTTCCCTCAGCTCGCACCAGGTCTCCATAAGCTCTTGCTGCGTGGACGACCGAAGGCCCCAAGGGTGGGGGGCCGGCCCCCAGCCCACACAGCTGCTGAGACCCTCCCGGGCCTGCGCCAGGGTAAACACCAAGCACGCACCGGGCGCAGCGCCCACCTTGGCCAAGGACGCGTAGCAGCAGGGAGCAGGCGCGCAGCTGGACGTCCAGGTTCCTCTCGTGCTGCTTCATGATGCCGATCAACTGGTCCACCAGCTCCATCGGCCACGGGATACCTGGCAGGGCAGGTGGCAAGGTGTGACTTGGTGTAGGAGCAAAGTAGGAGGGGTCATGGACCAGGCTGGGGGCCAGGCGTCGCCGGAGTCTGCAGGGAATGACACACGAGCCCGGGTTGGACAAGCAGGTCGTGGAGAAACGTGGCCAGTTGCCGTGCTGGCTGAGGGCTTGCCGTGCGCCTGCCGTAGGCCTCTCGTCCTCATCCCAGCAGCCCCGCGAGTCGCCCCCACTGGGATGCTCATTATGCAGATGACAGAGCAGCCTCACTGGCTTCGAACCCAGGCGGCCGGCTCAGGCCATGGGCCATGCCTGCCGTGAGAGTGGACATCCGTGGCCGCCGCGGCCCCTCTGCCGGGGCCTGTGCCTGCACTGGGGAGGGGGCAGGAAGCAGTGGCGGCCAGCCGGGCCTCCATCCTGGCCGTGGCCCTGCTCTACTGCCGCACCCCCTCTCCTGGCCTCTCTCCTCCCCGGAGGAGTACGGGTAGCAGGTCCTCCATCTCAGGCTTGTGCGAATGACCAGGACAAAGGTGCCGGCACCCAAGAAGCCAAGCCATGGCCAGTCTGTCTCCAAACCTATCGGAGGCAGGTGTGGCTCTGGGGTGGCAGGAAAGGCCAGCTTGGGAAGGGGCCCAGTAGCCTCCCTCGGCTTCTCCAGAAAGCCCACATCTCCCTTCCCATGCACCTGTCCGCAGCTCCGGAGGGGGCCGAGGGGAAGGAGAGAGGGAGGGAAAGCTGCATGGCCAATACGGGGGTTCTGCTGCCGTGTTGGGGGGCCAGGTTGGGGCCTCTGTAAGCTCTGGTGCCCCAGACACTGGGAAAGACCTTCTGTGGAAGGATGGATGGTGGACAGTGGGATGGATGGGCGTATATAGACGGATGGATGGTGGGTGGATGGATGGACGGATGGATGGATGGATAGTGGATGGATGGATGAGTAAGTGAATGTCATGTTCAGGCTGGTGAGACAAAGGGTGAGTGGAGACATTTTATGAAACCATGTTTTCGCAAAATTAAAACAATGACTAATACTCATTGATGGCAAACGCTGGGGAGAGAGATGCTCGTGTGAATTCTTGAAGGTAAGTCGGTGCTTCTACGGAGGGCAATCTGCAGCATCTATGACGTCTTCCCACCCTGACATGTAGGAACTTATCCTACAGAAAGTCACACAAGCGTGCACACACCCAGAGTGCTCAGTCTAGTACTGTTTGTGACACCGGGAAGTTATCACACTCACATACCGTGAATAGGGGGGTGGAAGAGATGGGGTGTCTTCAGCATCCATTAAAATCGGTGAAGGGAGGCCATGAGAAATGGTGTGGATCCCAAGCCACCCTCCTTCTCGGCTCGGTACAAGCGACATGGGGAGTGTTGCAGGCTGCCTGTTCCACGCAAGTCGCGAAGATGTGGACCTCCCCCCTGTGGGACTATGAAGTGGCCTCGGGTGTGAGAGACGCACTGGAGGGCTTGCAGTGAGGGGCCAGGGTCTGCCCAGAGGAGCTGGGTGCAGCGAGGGGACTAGGCCTCTACCTAGCTCGTCATCGGGCATCGCCAGGAGCCTGTTCATGGCCTTGAGCTGGACTTCGGGCCGGCTGGAGCTCTGCATGACCTCTGCAGGAAGAGAGGGTGGAGAGGCTGCTGCCCAAGCGTCCACCTGACCTCATGGGCTCAGGGCCCCCTCCGAGGGCCGGGGCACCTGGGGCCCGTTTGTGGGCACCACCTCACGAACCCACGTGCTCCGGCGGAGGTGACGCCCTGCCACCCCCACTTTCCAGGCCAAGCAACCTGCCCAGGGGCGAACCCGGGTCTGTCTTGGGGCACTGCCTCCCTCTGGCGGGGCGTGGCCAGAGCCCCGCCCTTGACTCCGCCCCCCCCACCCCGCTCTGCACGGCTCCTGCCACGCTCAGCAGGTCCCTCTATCCCTGAGTCACGACAAACCACCCCCAGAAACGAGCTGCAGCGTCGGGGTGCACGCTGCAGACCCCGCATCCTACGGTAACCCTTCTGCTTCGGCACCACGAGAGTACCTCACGGCAGCCCGTGGGGTGGGTCCTGTTGTGACACCGACTTTCCGTGAGGAGCCTGAGGCTCAGAGGGGGTGCCCCACTTGAGGCCGCCCAGCTAATGGGTGACGGGCTCCACCTGGACCCAGTCGTCTGCCTCCAGAGCCCGTGACCATGAGACACGGGGGCACTGAGGAGCTGGGGCCTTGGGAATGCCCCTTCCCCAGAAACGGGGCAGAGGCGGCAGATGGGGCGCAGAGTCCCTCGTCACAGGCAGCCTGTGCAGGGAACCACAGAGAGGGGCAGAGGGAGCGAGAGCACGGGGCTGGGGGCGCGGAGCTTCCCAGGAACGTGAAATGGCCTCTGGACCCTGGGCATAGCTATCGGGGGCCGGTCACCGTGCCCCAGCCGGGGGCACGCGGCAGAGACTGGCGCATGCGCCTCGGCTGCCACGTGCTGAGCAGGTGACGGGCAGCGCCCTTGACTGAGGCCTGTGTGTCCCAGTTCAGGGATCTCTGCGGGGACGCGCCTGCCGTCCTGGGGTCACCGCCACACCCGTGCCAGTGCCCAGCACCATTCTGGGCACGTGACCACACAGGAAGTGCTGTGAGCTGGCCAAGACACCCGGCCATCGGAGCCGCGGTGCCCGGATGTGGAAGCGCACCCAGGGAGTTCGGGGGCCGCGGCGGGGAGGGCGCAGGCTCCGCCCCTCCGGGATGCGCAGCAGGGGTGCCCTCCCCCTCGGGGCCCCCCGAGATCACCTAGAACGGTGGGCAAGCTGCCCGCCAGCAGCACGTCGGAGACGAAGGCGGGCACCTCCTGGCGGTGCAGCGTCAGGGTGGAGCTCAAGGACCTGAGGCTGCCGCTCGAGAAGACGATGCGGATCACGTCCCTGGAGAGAACGCAGGGCCGCTGGGCTCCCCCGCCTGGCCCTCCGGGCCCAGCTGGGGGGCTGGGGGCAGCCGCCCGCCCCCACCTTCCGTCGGGGACCCCACTGGGCAGCACCTCTCGCCACGTGGCAAGTGCGTCCAGCTGGCGCCCCAGCACTCCCACCTCTAGGGACCTGAGGGGGGACAGTGCTGAGCCCGGCGCTTCCGCCCACGAGGGCCCCTTCCTCCATGAAGAGACATAAAAATCAAGCTTTGCAACTGTGTTGCTATAAAGGCCAATATGACCCAGGCTGGATGGAGTCATTGTTACAGATTTTTTTTCTCCTGATTTTAAAATAAATTAGAATTAGCACATTCCCGGATGCTCCGGGCTGTGCCTGCCATGCCTGATGGACAAGCCCGACGTGTCGGCGCCCGGGCTCCGTGCACCGGAGACGCTCGTGGGGGCAGCCGGGCCTGGAAAGGCCCGCGATCGGGGCCGAGTCGGGGTGGGCGTGATGGCGGAGCACTCTGTGGCCTGGGAACGCCAAGCGGCCACACGGACACGGAGGCGGACAAACGTGCAAGATGCACTGCAAGGCTCCCCGCGGCCAGAACCCGGCTCACCCGACTGCTATGCGCTCCGAGGGCTCAGGCTGGAGCATCTGGGGCAGAAGGGCACTGAACATCTTCGCCTGTGGGATCTGCCGCCCCTCCATGGTGCTCAGGACACTCCTCAGGCCGCCCGGGAGACTCCGGATGGACTTGCGCAGCAGCATGGCCTCCGAGGCCTGGGGGAAGATGGGGCGCGGGCAGCTGCTTGCGTTCCCTCAACTAGAGGAAAACTGGGCCCCAGCCCCGGGCGGAGGGCTGTGCCAGGCTCCGGGGGGTGCCGTGAGGGGAGCCGGGTGAGAAGGCGTGGCCATCGCGAGGCCACCTGAGCCTCACGGCCCTTCTATGCCTACGGGCGGCTCGCCAGTCGGAGGGAGTTGGGGACCCTCCTCCTACTGCTGGTCATGTCAAGCAGGCTTTGGGCCTCATCCCAGATCCAGCCCCAGCTGGCAAGAGTCTGGGGCATCCGGGAGAGAGTGGAGAGTGTTGGGGCTCGCCTGTTCTTTCTGGGGACCTCGGTGCTTGCACGCGGGCCTGGGGGACAGTGGCCTGGCTGGCTCACTTCTCCCTGCTCTCTTCTCTGCATGTCGGGGCTCTGAAGCCACAAAGCTCAACCTCCCAGCCTCCTGCAGCCAGGGGACCAGGGGCCACGTGGCCCTTAGCTCTGCCCCTCTCCTTGGGGCCTGCAGGTGGTGGTCCAGGTTCTAGGCCATGCTAAGGAATCCCCGCCACACCGGCCTGGGCCCCTGGGGGACAAGCAGCGCTGTGTGTTCAGGCCCACAGAAGTCCACTGTCCATTGCTTGCAGCTAAATGCATCCTTGACGCAAATGGGCAGAGTGTGGCCCAAATCCCACCCTGGGTGGCCAAATGCATCAAGTCGGGTCTCCTCATCCACAAGGGGCAGTGAGGACACCGGAGGCTGCTGTTAGGGTCAGATGCACCGGCAGGATTGAGCATCCCCACCACGGTCCCCACCACCAGGCCAGGGCCCTGGCCCTGCGGGCAAGGTGCTGAGGGGGCGGGGGTGCGGGTCCTCCAGCAGCTGGGGCTGGGGGCCTCTGCACAGCTCCGCCCACCTGCGGAGGCACAGGGCAAGCACGAGGTAGAGGGCAATGGGAAGAGTGTGCCCTCTGGGGTGAGGGGCACAGAGCCGGCTCCCTGGGGACATGGGGCGTGGGGTCGGGGTGCTGCAGGGAGGGGCAGGTGGAAGGCAGCTCACATCCAGGAAGGAGCAGCTGACCATGTCGAGAATGATGCAGCCCAGGGACCAGATGTCAGCTTTCTTGCTGAAGGAGAAGTTGAGGGCCTCGGGGGCCATCCAGGACTTCTGAACGGGGTCTGTCGGCAGGAGAAGGTGGGGTTGCATGAGTCCTGTGCTCCCTGGGGAAGCAAGCAGCTTGAAAAATGAGCCCTTCATCACGCTGCTTGGGGGAGATAGGGTCGGGCTACCTATGTGGGGACAGGAAGCCCCTGGTCAACGAGTCCCTGGCCCTTGGTCTTCGGCCACTGAGGCTGCCCATCTAGGCAGATGCCCACGAGGCTGGCCCACGTGCACGTGTCTGTGCCGACTGTGGCTGCAGTAGTCGGGAGACGTGTGTGCCAGGCAGGCTGAATCTGCCTCCTCCTTAAACACAGCGCCCTTCTGAACATCAGGACCTCAAGGCGAAGTTGTGCCACCCTCGTTTCTAAACCTGAACCCCAGACAAGGAGCCGACAAAGCAAGGTCCTTGGTCCAGCTCTGTCAGTCTGTGGGAGGCCTCAGGCGGTGGCCCTCAAGACCTCCATTATACAGCAAAACAGCAAAGGAGTGGACTTTAAGGACCCCTGCCATCCACACGTCCAGTAGAGCTAACCACCACCCCCCCCCCCCCACCCATTCCCCGTGCACCAGCCACAACTGGGGACTGGAGCCGCCCCCGCCTCCGCTGGTACCTCCACCCCTGATAGCTGCTGCAGGCTAGAAGCCCAGCTCTCTCTACCCCATTGTCATTTCAAAGGACAGAGAACTCATATCCGCTCACCCCACCCCTCACCCCTGCTCCTACCACAGCCTGCGGGGGCTGGGGTTTCAGGCTCAGTGAAGTAATCCAAGCCTGGTCAGTTCCCGGCACCCAAGAGCCTCCCGTCCCTATGGGGCAGTTTCTTCCCCCGAGAGCTTTCTCCTCCCTTCACTGAGGTTAGCACTTTCTGGGTGTCCTTCAGACCCCGCATGCCGCCCCCGCCCCCCATGGTGGTCGTCCTGCTTGGTTACAGTCCAGGCTAGGGGCCTCTTTGGAGTCCACAGAAGCCTTGTTCCCGCCCTCTGGACTCTAGGAGCCTCCAGCGTTGGGAAAACGGCCCCTCCCGC